AACAAGTTTTCTAAAATGTGTGGAAAATTATTTTCAATGCATCGATCTCTCATATGGTATTTTGACGTAACACTACCTCCCCATTAATTCCTAAAAAATAAGCACAATGCCAAATTATTTTTGATTGTCTTGGGTACGTGTTATGACCAAAATTGAAATAATTATATCCAGCATTTTTGTTTTTTTACAATATAGAACTATACTGAAGCTTGTTTTTTATGGTTATGAACCTGCAATGTGGTAAAAATTAGTCTAGTCCTGGTCTTGTTTTATAAAAATAAATCAAAGCATGCAAAAAAAAAATATGTATAAATTCCAATCGTTAAAAATTAGCTAAAAACATATGTTATGGGATTATTTTATTGTAGTAAACAAACTATTATAGTTTTATTTGATAAAATATAGGTTGGCGGAATCGTAAAAATGTTTTATTGCTTTTAAAAACGAAAGTATTTTTTATTTTTTGAATTTATTTTAGGTCCCGGTGCAGTCGCCATTTTTTTAAATAAAAATATCAATAACGTTGATTATTTCCCTCATTATAATATGAACCAATCAAAAGCCTTAAATTTTCGAATAAATTTCGTTTAAATAAGCGATTAAATCACTAGAACTATTTAACAGCGATTAAATTTTAGCCTCCATATTTGATTTTTGTTTACGATTTTATGGTGTTATTTACAAGTTTTAACAAACATTTTTTAAAAAACAATAAAAAATAAGTTATCTAGTTTACGAAATATCAATTATTACTTATTAGTAGTTATTACATACCTTAAATTAATGGAATTTTCTTTAAAAAAATATTTATAAATTTTGACACATACGTCAGATTTTATGAATTGTCAAACAGTTTACTTTAATTTGAGAAATAATCTAGACGTATATCACTCAACCTATAAATTTAATCTGTCAAACTATGCTCAGTAAATTTTTTATTTGATTTTTTTTTTGGAAAATAGTTTCATGCAAAATAATTAAAAATAAAACCCCTCGACCGCTACGCGGTCTCCTGATTTTATTAAATTATTTTGCATTCAACATTTTCCAAGAAAAACCAAACAAAAAACTACTGAGCCTAGTTTAACCGATTAAATTCATAGTTCTCGTGATATAATATATGATAATAATAAGCATGAAGACTAAATAAAGGAGCAGGAAACTCCATGTATACAAATGAGTCATTTGAAATGACCTTTTAAAATAAGAGGGCACTTATGTTTGTACCAAAACAGTTGATTAAGCAGATATGGATCTCTGATTGACGCTCTCACTTGTACCATGACAAACCATGGGATACCTTGGTATCCCAAAATTTAACATACAATTCTTATGTAAAATTGTCCCTAGAACAGTTTTGAGATATACCTAGTCAATTTTCCATTTAATATGGAATTGACTATATCTCAAAAACTGCTCCACTTTCATAATTTTTGACGGAATTTTCGGATTCAGGTGACCATTTTACATAAAAATTGGCTGTTAAATTTTGGGATACCATGGAATTCATTGTTTAACCATGGTACTAGTGAAAAAGCAGCCACTAATAAGTATTAAATTAGTCATTTTTGACTTTTTGAATTCGTTTTTAGAGAGCGGGCGTAATAAAGAATAATGGAGATGGAAAATGCCGACTTCCCTACACCCCCACGCTATGTCCCTGATTGTAATAAATTGGAAATCGAAATTATTTTTAAAATTCCCTGGATTGTTTAAAATAGGTACATTCGATATTTTGGTAACTTGAATTACAAATATATAAACAGTTTTCGAAATTGTATAGGTACCAACTTTTTTCCTCGTTATCCATATTCTAGTTGTTAATTTTAAAATTGATGGGTTTAATTTTTAGAAGACAAAATTAGTATTAACATGCCGCCGGCAGGTATTTGTTTTGTAAATAACTTTGGAACTTCGGTTCCCTGCCAAATGCATTTAAAATCTTTTTATAAATACTTGTCGCGATTAATCATCCCAAAAATTGTTTTTCCACAATTTCAACACAAAAATAACAGATTTTTTCCTAATTGAATTAGGTGATGAAATCGCAAGTTTAATGCATTTTTTTCCTTTTTTTGAATAGGTTAAAAGGTATTTTAGAAGTATGATATGTATCAGTAGGTACCCACTTATGCCCATAATATGTAATTATTAAATTGTTTTTATGTTAATTTAAAACAAATACTTGTTACCTGTCATTACATCATTTGCATCGAGTTATTAATGGATTTTTATCTACTCCTACATTGGCAAGCTATGACTTTATACAGTTTTAGTCACGGGCTGCAGTTAACAAAAGTGGCTTTTGGGCATTTTAGTCAGGTGCTGACGTAAACTTTAGGTATTATAAATTGCGAAAAATCCCAATGTTCTGCCAGAACCTCCTTAAGTCATTAACAATATAATTTTTGTTTATTAATTGTAAAATACCATTATAATAATAGCACAATGGAAATCCCGAAAATCTCTTCTATTTGCGTCGATAATACTCAAGTGGGTTGTCACCCCTTATTAACTTAAATTGTATTCTACCTTCTGGCTAGAAATAGACTCGAACCATTGTCAGATCAAATTTATTGTTTCCTATTTGGAAAATAGGCGAAAGGTGTAGTGCGTAACGGTAACAGCCTGGGGGAGCATAATGCACTAGACCGCAAATAGGCATAATAAAAATAAATGCAGCGGTTTAATAAATATAATGAAAAGGCAAAGTTCCTAATGAAAAGGTCAATTTATTTGAAACGCTGTCAAATGTGCGGTCCAATTTGATTAAATTGACACTTTTATTTTCACGAATGACTTTTGGATGGCGTTTTAACAAGATTAATTTATTATTCAATAAAAAAAATTCCCAAAAGCAAACAATTATTTTTTTATTTTTATTTTTTAGTTCAGAACATGCTTTTTCTTTGCGTTAAGTGTGTCCAATAAATTATTTGTTTAAAATTTAACTACCATTTATAAAAGTAATTTTTTCAAGAATTATTTTTTTATTTTTATATGTAGTTTAAACATTAGTTCAGAACATGCTTTTTCTTTGCGTTAAGTAAGTCCAATAAATTATTTGTTTAAAATTTAACTACCATTTATAAAAGTCATTTTTTCTATTTTTTTTTAAATTATTTTATAAACAATACGACACGTCAAAAACAAAAATAAGTTATGAATCAAGGACACGGTGACAATATTTTTATTTGCATTGCAATACAAATGTAGTACTACGTCAAATGTTTACCTTAAAAAATCGTGGGTGGTCAGCTTTTGAAAAATCAAGGCATCTATAATTTAATACTGCAGTGGCGCAGAATTGTTTCATGATTTATAAGAATAAACTAAAATTACTTACCATTAATGGTAATTCTTGGGATATAATACTAAAATTATTTATTTAATAAACAAAGTTTATATCATACATTTTTATAAACATAATTAATTAAATAGATACGACCAAAATAATTTGGATAATTTTTATCCAAATTATTTTTATATTAAAGATTAACAACAGGGTTTTACATAATTTAAATATTTATTAACTTTGTTTATAATACTTAAAAAAAAGGAAAACAATTTTTATTTGTTTAAGTTATCATGACATTAAACAAAAATTGCGATAAAAAGCAAAGGTTTTGTTAATTGTAAAAAATATTATAAAACAATTTATTTCAGGCGAAATGTCATAATACAAAATTCAGTTAAAATGCATCTAATCAGTCAGTGGCGTATTAAACAGTTTTAAACCATGATAGAAAACATTAAAATTATGGAAACTAATTTTTTTAGTAGGGGTGCACGAATAGTTTTCGAATCAAATCAAATAGTGATATTCGTAAGTAATATTTGACAAGACTATTTCATGAGTAACAGTTAACAATTAAAATATAAATTGCAATTTTTGGTGACAACAGCTGTCAAGTTTTGCCGCGGGTAAACTCGAAAAAACTGCTGACAGGTGCTGTCATACAGTTTTTCCACCTAGAAACCATTTGTAATTCAAAAAATCTGTTAAAAAAACTTGAAACTTATTTTTTAGATAATCATAATTATAACATTTTAATGCTTTTAAGTATCAAATATGTATTATTTCAAGTACAAAAAAATACAATTTTTGACAAATTCCATTATTTTATATTTACGTTTTAGGTTGAAAACAATTTCCGACACTTTTGGGACACCCTGTACAAAAAGCGATTTTTAGGATTAAAAATCATTTTTTGTGGCGGGTACCCAAATTGTGTATTTTTAAGCGAAAGTGAGCATTTATAAAGTTTAAGTTTAGCTTAAGTAGGTAAGCGTACTATCTTAATTGGAACGACTGCAATTTTTTAATTAGACGTTACATTTAATTTTTTAAAAATTAACAAAAAAGTATAGTGTGTAGTGTAATGGAATCGCAATTACTTCCTCAATGAATTCCTTCACTCGCCTATCGGCTCGCTCGGAAACTTTCATCATTGAGTAATTGCTATAATTCCACGCTCGGTAAAAAATATACTATTTCAAGGATTTTGTTCAATTAACAAAGTAGTTATCTAAAAGAAATAAAAAATCATAATTTTACAATTTTCGAATCTAGTTTTTCATAATTTAATTGCCCGATAATCTGCATTTCCAAAATTTAAAATATCTTATTTTCTAAGAATTCCGACGACTTTACTCTAGATTTTTCTCAACCCAACTCAAAATGAAAAAAGTGACAAATCCGATTACTAATCATTAACTCAAGACCAAAACGGAATTACACTAATACATTCCAACCCACGTGCGGAAAACTCAGCCACCCCGCCCGCCCCGTGCACTACGCCATTGACCGTATTGCTGTAGCTATAGCCACGAAACTCTGACAGCGTTGCGCAATCTCCCCACACACACCATTAATATTCTATTTAAAACCAAACGCAAGCCCGGCAAAGCAGTTTGCTTGGAGCCAGTGACTGGAGAGACAGCAGATACGCAGTGAACATTACTTTGACGTGTGATTTAGCAGTGAAAAGTGCAACACAATGGCAGAGGGTATCAAACGTGACATCCCCATCCGCATGGGGGACTTTAGTGTGATCGACACCGAGTTCAGCAGCATCCGCGAGAGATTCGACGCTGAAATGCGAAAGATGGAAGAGGAAATGGGCAAATTCAGGTCGGAATTGATGAACAGGGAGTCCAACAACTTTTTCAGGAGCACCACCAGGTACATATCAACATCAGTTGATACGAATTTTACAAGATAATTTGTGGTTGAGGTATTTTACATAACTAATGCTTCAGCTGCCCTAAAACGGAAACTCAATCGATATAACTGCTTAACACGCGCTATCGATCCTTCAGAAGGTCCTTGCAACAGAAACAGGATAACACAGTACATTACAAACATCCCTAATGATCTTCCTTCATTCAATCAATTATTCTTCACAAACAAATATTTGAGATAATGTATTTAAAAAAAGGATAAAACTTCACACTTAATGATTAAAACATTATTCACTTAATGTTTACTAACTCAAGGCGTTTTGTTGATAATCAAACATTATTAGCACCGTAAAAACTACTGATGTAATCCAAACATACATTATAATTTTTGGTCATTTTCTATTAATAGAAATGATGACAATGATATGCAGGAATAATGAAATTAGCCAATACCACCAAAATTAACTTTTATTGAGGAAATAGTCAACTTAATGGTACTGTTTTGTAGAACTAGGTAAATTGCTATCCGCTAAGTAAACAACAAAGATAAATAAATCTCAGAAGCATAAAATACATGAAAACAGAGTAGGCACTCTCCTTGAAAAATTACCATATTTAACGCAGCCCCACCTAGTGGTACTAAATGATTGATATTCATACAATCAATTAGCTCCATTCACAGGAAATTTTTTTTTCCGAATACTTTTTGCCCATTTAAGTTGGTGTAACACGATGATGTCACGGGCCAAAAATAGAAAGAACGATTTACACAGCACAACAATCGTTTTGCTCTGGTAGATTCTGGAATGTCGTCTGTGTCATTTAAAAGATGCAGAATTTTTCTGGCGTGAACCTGCTTATGCATTTATTGCGTACGCCCATGGTACACCCATGAGTTTCATTGGGCGAATACCGAAATTTAGAAAGTGCCCAGCAGATGATTATGATTTATTGAATTTCATGGTTAGAAGGTACTTGATTCAAGAGTACTTTTAAATAATGGGACTATTACAAAGCAATAATTCATCAAGTAATTTAATAACAAAAAACTCAGAACAATAACATTTCCTATTAAAGATTTCTGACCATGCTGTTTGTAGCACTTATTACTGAAAAATTTGGCAATGACAAGAATATTGATCGCATAACCATATAAGTATTTTCAACCTACATTATTATATTGAAAAACGGTTTATTATGTAAAATAGCCTGGCCGCTCTGTACATATAGCTATTTATATTACAACTATTTTTGATTTCAGTAGTTAGTGTAGCTTAAACATAACAAATCTAACAAAATGCTTTTAATCTTTGCATGTCGTACGAATATGAGACGAGTTCTGGAGGAAATAAGACGAAATCGTCAAGGTTTGTACTACTCGTACTTTTTTTCGTAAACAATTACAGGTCTACAAAGTTTTTTTGAAAATATATTTTTATTTTTTAAAATAATGTTTTTTTATTTTCTTAAATATCGCAAAACTGCAATATTTTGCAATTATTATTTTAAAATTTATTGACCCTTTAAAACTTAAAAAGAAATATCTTATTTCGTGTATTAAAACTTTTAATTTCCAATTTTAAGTTAGATTTATTTTGAAATTGGGAAAAGTGAGGTTAAAACCGTTTGACCGATGTCAGATTAAAAAAAAGTGAGGTTAAAGCCGTTTGACAAATGTCAGATTGAAAAAAAAGTAAGGTTAACAGTTGTCAAATGTCAAATAAAATTGGCTGTAATTTCTGAAAACCATAAGTTATAGAAATACTTCATATTAATATTGGCTTAAAAGTCAAAATATTTTTAAACTCCGCACAGAAATAAAGCAAAAATGTCATCAGTTGAACCTAACCTAAAAATGATATGACAGAATCATAGAAATTATTATAGCCTCGGCTATCGCCTCAGCAGTGAAATGTATGCTCGGCGATAATATGAGCTTTTTCCGCCTGGTCTATAATGTACTATTGTGACACGAATTTTGTGTTCGTCGAAGATAAAGTAGCAATTCGTTTTACATCGAAAAATATTAAAAAAGGTTTCTAAAAACATAGGGTCAAAACGTTTTTATAAGGGCCACTTAGAAGATGACACTAAATAAAAAAAAATTACAGTTTATTTTTACCTTATTCGTACTTTAACTTAATGTAATACATTTTTTGTCTAGCACGCCCGGTAAATTGGAAACTTTCTGTATATTTACAGTACTTTTCTTGGTTTTTTATAATTTTCGATTCAAAAGTTTGTTGGGTCAAAAAATTTTAATTATGAAAAAAAAATATTTCAAACTCAATTTTGTAGACCTTTATTAACGTAGAAAAAAACTAACTTAAAAAGGAAAATACTGCTATTAAAAATGATGTATTTTATTCAGAATCCTTTTAAACTTTTATTCTTCCTTTTCAAGTTAGTATAGGTTTAAATTTTTGTACAGTTGTACCATACACCTGAATAAAAAAGCATTTTTAAACCTGTTTTATAGAATGAAAGGGTTTCTATTGATATTTAATTTATGGGTGGCAAACCAGTTGCAATTCAATAGGTTTAAAAATCGCTTTATATTATACACTTTTGTATACATTTGTTTTATACACCTTTTTTTATTTTAATTTATCACGTTAAATGTTTGTGGTTTACTAATTAATGATATAAGGATTTTGCAATAAAAATATAGAAGGGAACATTGAGAATTATAGGTACTTTTTTAATAAACAAAATTATATTCAAATATATTTTTAAATTTTGCTAGTTTTTTTATACATTTGTTATTTTTTTTGTTATTAATAATTTTTTTTCTTAACCATTCTAAAATGAGCAGAAAGAAAACCACAAAATTAAAGAAAGTATCTAACCACAAAATTAACCATAAAACGCCTATTAAGATTATAAAAATTAAAAAACTAATTTTGACTTACCAATTTTTAGCTCAACCACGTCTCACAACACCTCAGGCTCAGATTTGGCAACAAGGGCGCCCTCTGGCGACGTGAGGACATGGTACGACGACTTGAACTCGCCGCTCATCCAAGAAGATGGCAACAACAAACAATTGAAATTGAGATTCGACGTCAGCCAATACGCACCGGAAGAAATCGTAGTCAAAACTGTGGACAACAAATTATTGGTAAGAAAAGTTCTTTTGACGCAAAATACATCAAAGATGCCGTGGCATTGGGATTATCTGTCATTTTTTAACAATACAGCGTTTCTATTGGTGTTGTTATGTCAATTATCACAGCAACCTCATCAAAATCGTTTTTATATTATACAAAGTGAATTTTTGTATGTTATATGACGTTATAAATTAAGCTTAAAATTATTCTATTGAATATAAGATCATAAAAATATACAATAAATAATTCATTGTCATGATTTAAATAGAGAATTGTAATGAACAAGCTAAATGCAAATTATAAAGATTAATATCTATGATAATTATATATGGCTACATACTGTCAATCACATATTGCTTGTTAATCGTATGTCCCTATTATTTTTTTTAACCGATTTATTTGCGATTTACATTTGCACAATAAACAAATGCGTAAATTGAAATAAAGTAAGAAAAATGTAAAATGTTTACCAAACAGTCGTTAAAAATGCAGACAAAATAAAATGCAAATATTTGTAAAAATCTGATTACAGAGTTTTGAAATGATTTTTTGTTCGTAAAAGTAAATTTTGCGATATGAGTGTTAACATAACATTAAATAGGTAAAAAAATGCACAATAAAAATATAGTAAATAATTAGCAAATAGTGAGGGTATTTTAAATTTAAAACCTTGAGAAATGCGATAAAAAATGCAATTACAAAAAAATAAAAACAGACAAAATAATAATAAATAATAGAAACCAAATTATAAAATCATAATTATTTATAATTATAATTTATAAAAAATTTTGTAATTGCTAAGTTGATTTTTACGATTAAGGGCCTTCAACCAGTAAATTTTAGATAATAATTTATCATTTTTAAATAAAAAACTAAAAAAGTTAACCCTACATTTTTTAACTGTCAAAACCATATTGATCTTTATACACAGAATTCTGAGCTTTATATAATATTATAGGATGTTCTGAAAATGGCATACTTATAAAATTATAAAATAAAAAGTTAAAATTCGTTAATAATATCAAATTTATATTTGATTTTTCGACTAAAACTGTAAATAATTAGCAAATGGGAAGGGTGTTTAAACCTTGAAAAGTGCGATAAAAATGCAATTAAAAAAATAATTAAAACGGAACAAATAATAATAAATACCTAATATAAACAAAATTATAAAATCATAATTATTTATAATTTATGAAATAATTATGATTTTATAATTTTGTTTATATTAGGTATTTATTATTATTTGGGCCTATAGGGCCTTTAACCAGTAAATTTTAGATAATAATTTATCATTTTTAAGTAAATAGCTAAAAAAAGTTAACCCTACAACTGTCAAAACCAAATTGACGTGTCCATAATATTATAGAATGTCGCGAAAATGGCATACTCCAAAAACAAATTCTAAAATAAAAATTTAAAATTTGTTAATTATATCAAAGTTATATTTGATTTTTTGACAAAAACCGTACATCTGTCAACCATGTCAACCTTAGCTCCCTTAACAATGGTTAAGTATTGGATGTGTATTATTGTAGCTCATGACACAAAGCATTGCCATTTTTTTTAACTTAAACGGCCAACGACTACAAAAATACTCGTTAATTTTTTTTTGTATAATGTACCTATTTAAAACATTAAATTAAAATTTATTAAAAAAATATTTATGTAGGCCTTATTTTATTTTGTAATTTTTGTGATTTTTTAATAATTAATGTTTTCAAATTATGTGATAAAAATACTTATAGTAACAAATAAAATCTATGAAATTGATTAAAAACGTCAGAATAATAAATAAAAACTAAACATTTTGAAAATAGAAAAAAATACGTCCTATTTTAGACCCAGTTTTTTTAATGTTAAAAAAAGAATAGGAGAAACTCATATTTACTTTTTTTTCTTCTTCTTTTTAGGTACATGCAAAACACGAAGAAAAAACAGAATCGAAATCCGTCTACAGAGAGTACAACCGTGAATTCCTGTTACCCAAAGGTACCAACCCTGAAACAATAAAAAGCTCATTGAGTAAAGATGGCGTGTTGACAGTCGAAGCTCCATTACCTGCTATCACTGCTGGCGAAAAACTTATTCCAATCCAACACTAATTTATTGACTTTTTATTTATTTCTTCTTGTTAAATTTCTGATAAATACTTAATTTACGAATTTCCACCGGCTTCTAGAATCTATTTATAATTTTTGTTACAAAACTATTCATAAATTGAGTACTTTTATTTTCCTTTTTCGCAGTATCATTGTTATACGAAATTTGATATGTGCTAACGAAATTAAAAAACAAACGTGATCGCTTTATCTGTTTTTAATGTATAGCAAGTAGAGTCACAAGTAGTACATTGAATTATACTTTTTGTAAGTTATTTATAAACAATAAAATATTTTTAAACATGCTCTTGTTTTACTGCATTTTAAAAAAATCATAGAAATAAGATAACTTGAAATCTTTAAATAAAAATGTGCTGATAACTTTTTTAAAACGGGTTACCTAAATAAATAAATGATTGCACTTGTTAAAAAACAAATAATAATAAAAGTTCTTTTTTTGGGTTTTAAGTTGAATTAAGAATAAAAGTAAATTTCAATTTTGATTACTTTAAAGTAGGTACAAGCAGTTGATAAAAACTGAACATATAAATTAAAAAAAAAATTATTCCTACTTACCTGTTTTGGAAAAAATTAACCAGTCATTTTTCTTGAAAACAGTAAATTTTAGAAAAAAAATTAAACAAGATTTTTGTTATTGGGTTGATGCTCGCACGATATTCAAAAAGTAGGTGGCGCTTAAGAGCGTTTTTTAAGAACGTTTTATTCCTTTTTGCCATTCTTGTGAAATAATAATGAGGAAATTATTTTTATATCTTAATACAAAAATAAAAGAGTTTTAAATAGTTTCTCAACGCCAATACCTATTTGAAAAGTTTATTTGCAAGTTTGTACTGACCTTTTCATTTCGCCGGCAGTAAACTAGATTTAACTAATAATGCATTAAAAATTTCGGGTGGACCCCACCGTGAAGTGCCATAAAATATTCTCTTCACTTTCACCGTGAAAAACTGCTCTATCTCAGATTTAAACGGTTGTTAGTCCATCTTCAAGGGATAAATTTCGATTTACACGTAAGAATTTGACATTTTGACCGGCGCGCCGGTAATACAGATTCCCAAGTTAGAAATTTTTACGCGATTTACTCAATTTTTTCATAGATGTCGCTCTATACAAATATTTAATTAAAATAATTTTAAGATAATAAGTATTTGTCGTAGAAAAAGTATATTAGCTAACTTGTTTATAAACTTTTGTAGACACTCATTTAATTAAACACTCGCTCGCAAACTCGCTCGTGCCTAATTAAAATTTGTAACTAAAATGTCGTTTATCAAACTCGATACAAAATTTCCTTTTTTTAATATAGATAGTAATAGTAATAGTAATAATATTAACACACCATTTTACAGGAGTGAAAAAGATCTCCAAATAGCATATACCATTTTATCTTCTAACAAAAAATAAAAAGTTAATACATTAATATGAATGAGAGTCTGTCAATGACAGATGCTTTCTCCAAAGGCAGAGACGGAGATAATATGAATAAAATAGTGTTAAAAATAATTTTGTATCGATATATTGTCTACACTCAAAAATAGTTATAATAATTTTTAAGGGCTGAGTTGAGGCTAATAATATCAATATTATTAATAGAATTGCAAATTTGCTGTTTTAGTATATGGTGTTACCAAATTTAGTAATTTCAAAAAGGCTTTGGTAAGGAATTTCATCTCTAGTAAGAGTAGAAATTTATAGGATTTGAGATAGATTTGAAATAGTAAAATGTTACCAAAAATAAACTAATAAAGTATTTATATCTTAGTACAAGCTAGGATAAATAATTATCATAGATAACAAGTTCAAATTATTATGACAGTACACTATTATTATAACAGCGCCATCTGTACAAATTTAGTTTTTTAATAAGATTTTTATGAATGTTTTTGTTAATTTCTTTATTAAAAGTATTAAGTCTATTTATTATCCGATTTATTTTAATATGACTATTTCCATCGTCTTAATTTCCATCAATCACAAACGTGCAATTTTGAATTACAAATGGTTTCTAGGTGAAAAAACTGTGTGACAGCACCTGTCAGCAGTTTTTTCGAGTTTACCCGCGGCCACGGTCTTATATATAAGACCGTGCCCGCGGCAAAACTTGACAGCTGTTGTCACCAAAAATTGCAATTTATATTTTAATTGTTAACTGTTACTCATGAAATAGTCTTGTCAAATACCATTCGGGATCAAATTTTTCCTGTGACACAATGCTTAGTAATATTTTTTAACAAAATGCATTCGTGCAGGTGCAAAAATCCTCTTCTTCGACTCGGATTTTTGTTGCCACCAGCACTCATGCTTTTTGTTAAAATATTACTTAGCAACGTGTTTTTTCGATTCTTTTTGGAAAAATTAAATGCCCTTGATTTTACTTTTGAAAAAATCCTATTTGTAAGGTTTGGTTTACCCAGGACAGGTTCTGGTTTTTGCTAATGTGTCCTGGTTTCTATTGTGTACTGGTTTTGTCCTGGTTTGTACCTACTCATTTTGTTTACTATTGGAGAGTATTTATTTATTTTATTTTCAAATAATAAACATTGAATAAAATAAGTTTTGTTCTCTATGTGTCCTGGTTTTTCATTTTAAAAAGTAAAAACCAAAAAAAAAATATTTGTGGCTCTGTTTTCTGGACAAAGTTGGCTGACAAAGAGTTGGCAACACTGCTTTAAAATTACCCACATGAAAAGGGTTATTTTCAGAGATATATCTCTGGTTATTTTGAATATAAAAAGTTACAATTTTATTAAACAGTGTGTCCTAAAAATGTCGTCATTTTCGGCGGTATCTTTTGACATACAAAGTTTTGAAAATAATTTTTTTAATAAAGCTGTTTCCAAACTGACTCTTAATTAAAAATGTTATTTCATGAAATAAACTAAACAAAATTAAAAAATATGATGATGGATAAAATAATTATCATGTTATTCTTAAAAATGCAGATAATCACTTTTAATTGTAAAAAAAATAACAAATCTTCCTAAATTATCTTATTAAGTAACAACATTCTGTATAAATGCATACAATATAATTAAGTTAGTTTATGTCTTAAAATATATCTATATGCAATTAAGGAACTTAAAGTAGTTAAAAAAACCAATTTTCTCCAAGGAAAAATGTAATGAGTGGATTTTTTTGTTATTAGATCTGCAGGTTGAGTTTTACTATCCCACTAAAATTTGTTTTAATTAAGTGTAAAAAATATACAAATATTAATATAACTTACATCTTCAGCTCTTGATAAAAAACCTTTCGCTATTATTTGGTTTGAATTAATTTCTCTTCTTATTTTGGCAACACTGTTTTTAATATTTTGAATGTCTTTTTTGTCTAAATTGTTTGAGTTTTTTAGAATGTAGTTTAAGCTTGCTTCCATAGCTATGAACTGTTTAATGGAGGCAACTACCTGAGTTGCTACATCTATATTACTAAAAAAATATTTAAAAAATCATCAAATTATAAAAAACAAATTACATACGTGTAAATATCCTTTAGTTTGACTACCAATAGTGACTTGGGATGATATGGGTGTTTATGGAATTTATAAAGTCCATTAAGTATTTTCCTCCTTTGGTAAGGCATTAATATACCTAAATTTTTTAAATCATCATCATTTGAAGACAAAAAATCAACCAGAGAAATATTTTTGTCATGGAAATGCTTTATAACATTCTCACTTCTAAGTGCAAAGAGAATATTGCATATATCGTTGAAAAATTTTGGCCTAAAAAAGATAAATTTTTTTATTTTAAGGTTGGTAGTGAATAATCACAATCCTATATGCAGTGTTACCAGATTCTGTCAAAAAAGGACCGTACGTTTCGTTCGAATTTACCTTAATTACAAAATGACACAATGAAACAATGCAAATAAATGCAATTATGTCAAGTTGACGTTATTTAATATTGTCTATTGAGTCATTTTTGTACTTAAGGTAAATTCGAACGAAATGTACGGTCTTTTTTTGACAGAATCTGGTAACACTGCCTATATGATTCAGGATTTGTGGAAGTTCTACCAACATTAAAATTCTTACTTTTTGATATCACTGACATCCAGAAGATTGCTGGAATTACTTGAGTCAAAATAATTAACATAAATATCCTCATCCACAGCAAATATTTTAACAATATCCTGGAAATCATTCAATTTCGCCAAATCTAAGGGGGTATGGCCTCTGATATCAGCTTTTGTGAAGTCAACCCCCTCATCCCATAAATATTCAACTACATTGACATGGTTTGAATTGATAGCCCAAAATAAAGCCTACAATATTGTTTACCTATTTTATCCCCTAAAATATTAAACAAATACATACAGTCCATCCCTGGTTGTCTCTAATCTCGTTTTCTGATAGAGGGTACAAAAATTTGACAGCCTCCAGATGTCCATTGCCACTTGCAAACATTATGGCACTCATTCTTTTTCTATCTGTCAGTTTTGGATTTGCTCCTTTCTCAACCAATAGTTTAATAATTTCCAAAGTGTTTTCATAGGTGGCTGTGTAAGGTGGGCAATTACATGCCATCATCAAGGCAGAAAATCCATCTTAAAAATAAAATTAACTTAAAATCTAAGGTACTAGGTATTAAAAAATACTTAGGCTCTAAAGATAAAATTAAAATATAATTTTAATTTAATTTTTTGATAAAATGAAATGTAACCGTTAAGTTGTTTAAAAATTTAAAACATATCAGAATATTTTATTTAGTATAAAGTGACCAGATCCTAAAAGTCCAAAAGCGGGACAAAGTTACAAAATTGTCAAAAATCTTGTTTTCATTTTCAATTTAGAATTAGGGTAGTAATAAATAAAAAATACTAAGTAGTTATACAAAATATGTAATGAAATACAAAAAAAATAAACTACAAGTAAAAACGACACTCAGTATTCTGATTTTAAATTTTTAATACCTGGGTCAGAATTTCTCAAACGGGCCACCTGAATTAGGTCAAAATTAGTTTTTGATTGTAGATACATTTTTTCGATAGTATTTTACATCACTAACACAAATCCTAAAGGATTTTGTAAAAAAAAAATTTTCAATTGACATATTCATGATATTAAAAGTAAAAGTTTTTAGTAATTAAAAAATAAAAAAAAATCATTATGGCTAAACTAATTATCCGATTCCAACGATTTAACTAGCGTTGGAATCTTGTTTTGACATAGATTCTTTGTTATTTTTTTCAATTGTACAATTTTCATTTAGGTTGATTTTTTTTTGTTTTTTTTATAACAAATTCGGAAATAATTGGCTTCTGCGCCAGCTATCGACTCGAAAAAAAAAACACATATACTCCAATCATTTTTCGAAATTATGCTGCTGAGAAAAAAAATGGCCCGCAGGTTCCAGACCACCGTAAGACGTCGCGTCACAAGCGCGTACAGCGTACACGGTTCGGAGCGTGAGCTGACACCGCGCGCGGCCACAAAAGGACGAATAACTTTTTGTCAACCTGCGGGCCATTTTTTTTCTCAGCAGCATAATTTCGAGAAATGATTGGAGTATATGTGTTTTTTTTCTCGAGTCGACAGCTGGCGCAGAAGGCAATTATTTCCGAATTTGGTATAAAAAAAACAAAAAAAAATCGACCTAAATGAAAATAGGATAATTGAAAAAAATAACAAAGAATCTATGTCAAAACAAGATTCCAACGCTAGTTATATCGTTGGAATCGGATAATTAGTTCAGCCATAATGAATTTTTTTATTTTTTAATTATTAAAAACTTTGACTTTTAATATCATGAATATGTCAATTGAAAATTTTTTTTTTACAAAATCCTTTAGGATTTGTGTTAGTGATGTAAAATACAAAAAAATGTATCTACAAACAAAAACTAATTTTGACCTAATTCAGGTGGCCCGTTTGAGAAATTCTGACCCACCTATAACATTTTTATTTATATTTTTCATTTTTATGAATTTTTTTTAATAGGGGCTTATTTTTTAACCCATACAGTCACTAAAGCTTTTAAAGTTTCTACAGGCAAATTAGTTTTTTCGGTGGTACAAATTTTATGAATCATAGAAAAAACCCGTTCGGTAGAAGCGTTTGTACCGGGCAAGCATAATATATATTGTACTAATTTTAAAATATTATTGAAAGGAATGTTATTTTCATCGAAATGACTAAACATTTCCACCCATTTTTGAAGTGTGTGGAAGTTTTTTGCTCAGTCCAAAAAATAAGTTTACTCTCAGAAACATAATTATGAACATAGGTATCATCTCATCTCATCAAATAAATCATTTTCAACTATGGTGCATTTAGGGAATTTTTTTAAAAGAAACTCAAAACTATTTTGTACTTGTTCCCATGTCGGAGCTTTTTTACTACAGTAGTAACTGTAACAGTAACTGTACTGGCTTAAATACTCTAAACAATTAGAGTAAAAGTTAATAGTCTGAATTTATTGAAAGCGGGACAAAACGGGGATGCTTATTAAATCGGGACCCTTTAATTTAGTAGGGACTGTCAAAAGCACATAGCACAAGCTAGTTAGACTAATGTGTTTGCATAATTTGACATTTTTGTCAAAAGTTAAATTTTGATGTCAAATACTATTATTACTATAAATCTGACATTTTTGCATAAATGGTTATTCAATTTTTTTTAAATAAATAACTCTAACCTCTATGTGAATTAACATTGGCACCTCTGTGTATAATTTCTTTTGCAATACTCGTATGACCATAAGAACAAGCCAATAAAAGAGCTGTCCATCCTGAGTTTAAATCTATGTCTACTTCAATTCCTAAAACATTCAAAATATTTATTAATTATTTAAGTATGTACCTATTATAAAATAGAATCAAACCTTTATCAAGCTCCTCTATCACAGTATTCAGATTCCCATAACAAACACCATTAAACAGCGAATTTATGGCGATTTCCCTATTCTTTTTCTCCAATTCTTCTGGAGATAATTTAATCTCTGCATCTTTGTGATTTTGGATTCTTTCCTGCAAAAAGAAAAACAAGTAAAACTTTGTCACAGAATACAACTTAACTCACTTGATAATTTACAAAGTCCCCGTCATCAGAAAAACCATCACTATTGTCACTATAATCAGGCGGAGGCGCATAACGAGACATTTTCTAGATTTGATTGCATACGAGACAAATTTTGAATTTTTAAACTGAAATTATGTAGGTTATGTCGAAACAAAAGAATGTTATGGTGAAGGGCGCGAAATTTAAAAAAATCCAATAAGAAGATTTTAATATTTATTAATTAATTTTCATATATTTATCGAAAATGTTATCTATCAAACTGGAATATTAACTCCATGTGGTGATTACTTGTATTTTCATAGAAAAAGCACTTCTACACGGTTTTTATTACAGTATTCCTGTAGGATTTGGGTAAAAATTAAAACAAATATAATTTAATAGGATATCATATTCAATCCGTTTACCATTTATAGGTAAAGTTAATTAAATCCTCTTTTTATTCCAATCAGCTTTCAACTTTCTCAAGTTAATAAGGTAATTTAACAATTTGCTGCTTTTTTAAAGCAACAATTAAGTGGTTTAAGTGTTATTATGTGTTTTGTGTCTTTAAATAATTCAATTATTATTATTATTAATTATAAATAATTTTGATTATATATAGGTATACCGTATACAAATAGATTTTTGTGAGGTTGCGATAGTGCGCATCTATATTTTGCATTCTGCGCAGGTTGTCAAAAACTAGTGTGGTTATCTAGTGTTTGTTTATTATCAAAAAATTTCGGTAAAATTCGATATAAAGTCGCGTTTTTGTCGTGAATTTATCGGGTTTACTAGTGGTTTTAGTTTAATTGAAAGTGAATGTGTGACATCGAAGAGACTTTTTAAAAACTTTGCTTTTGAGAATTTTTGAAAAATGGCAACAGATTCGGGGAATTGGAGAGACAACATCTTAAAACAACTGCAAAACAGAAACAAAAACGAAACGTACTGCTTCCAGGACCTGATAAGCCAACGTGATTATTAATTTTTGTGTTTTCACCGAAACAACATAACCTATAAATTTGTTTTGATTTTTAGATATTCGAGTTTTTGAAAATGCGAATGTTTTGAGAACGGAAAATTTGCAATTATCCATACAAAATGAGAAGCTGAGCTGCGGGGTGGGAACTTCTGGCGACAGTGGGCAACAGGAGCGAATACAACAGCTGGAAAAGAAGTTACTGAATCAAGCCGATGAATTGGCTGAATTGCATAGAAGAAAGGGGGAAAACGCGCAACAAATTATAGACCTTAATGTCAAAGTGCTGGAGAAAGATAAACTTTTAGCTGCTAAAGATATGAGGTATAGTAATCACCAAATATATGGTTCCTAGATTTAATAATGTTTTTGTATTTTTATGTAACTTTGTGGCCCTACTGAGGGTGGGCAAAATAATGAATTCACCATTTGTTCTTTTCTTAACACTTCACAGGAAAATATTGACATTGAAAATCTGACCCATGGCAGATAAAACAACAAACTAAATTACCTGCACCATTTTAATTGTCCATTATAATATAATAAGATAGTTGAATAAAATATTTTGAGTGACTATTGGTGGAAAGAGGAGATTCCACTCACGCGTTACTGCATTCCTCTTTGTCCCACTAGTCGCACAACATACTATTATAAAACGTATTATTATTTTTAGTTTGGCAGAAAATGCTGCTAAAATAATAAGTTTAAATGCTGAAGTATCGCTGTATGAGAAATCAAATCAGGAATTAAAATATTTGAATGATACTTTACGAGATGAACATCAGGCTTTACAAATGGCTTTTACGTCTTTAGAAGAAAAGTTAAGAAAAGTTCAGGTATGTAAATTAATTAAGTTTAAAAGTTTAAATGGCATATGAATTGCGACGTTGCCAACAGTTTTAAAATATTAATGATTTTTAGTTTTTAAATTAAAATTAATTTTTACCCAGAAATTTTTACACAGAATGTATTCAAAATTTAATATGTGAATAATTATTCAATAATTTAATTATTCAATAATAATTCAATAATTTAATATGTGAATAATTATTCAAAAATAATTTCACATTTTTTTACAGCACAGGTTTCAAGAAAATAATTTTTAAAATTACATTTGTTTTTAAAGCCCATTTTTTTATTAGTATATATTTTATCGTATGTTTGAAAGCTTTGAAAAGTGTAAAAAATCACTAAAACTAATAATCCTAGTATAGATTCTTTGGGAAATTTTATGCTCTACAAGAATCCGCGACGTAAAATTTTTTATCTCAAACGGTTCAAAAGTTATAGTCTTTTTAATGAAAAAAGATTTTTTTATGTGTTATTTCAATGGAAAACTTAAAATGCTCACCGACACCTTTTAAAATTGAGCAAAAAATTTTGCCTTGCAGGGAAATTTTTTGCTCGGTATGTAGGTTCATTTTAACCCATAAATCCGATAGGTTAGTTTTTTTGGCTCACCCTAGTGTACACATAAAATTAATGCACTGAATTCTTATTATGTAATTAAAATTATGACTATATAATAAAAATTTTAGAATTAATTTTATCGTAGAGATAAAATTATATAATTAATTTTATCACTGTGATAAAATTAATTCGGCGCTTTGGAGTGCGGCCAAAAGTGGCAACTGCAGTAGATCATATATACTACTATAGTAGGCATGTTTAATTTATCAAAGTTTGTCTAGTTTGCGAGCTAGTTTGGCGCCAATATGCGAGAGATCTGTTTGTGGTTTTTGCGTTATTGATTGTTGGAACTGTTCTCAAGCCTGCCTGAGCTTATACATCCTTAAAAATAAGTTTTGTTCAATATAAAACATATACCATACTATGCATATGAACTACTGCAGTTGCCACTTTCAGCCGCACTACTACAGCGCCGAATTAATTTTATGTCAGTGATAAAATTAATTATATAATTTTATCTCTACAATAAAATTAATTCTTTAATTATAGATCTATAAAATTATAATTTTTATTATGTAAAGTCATAATTTTAATTGTAACATAAAAATTCATTGCATTAATTTTATGTGTCCACATAAAATTAATTGTATTATTTTTTATTAGAATTAATTTAATGTGTACAGATAAAATTAATTGTAAAATAAAAATGACTGTCGTGTTATAAATAGGAAATTGCAACTTAAAAAATAATAGAATAAAATAAAATAGTTTAAAAATCTTGTTTAAAAAAAATTGTTTAACAATGTTTTTAGTCTCACAATAATTCCAATATAAATTTCAAAGTAAAAAAATAAAGATCCTCATACAAAATAAAAATGGACCAAATTTAAATGATGCAAATATTAATTCAACTAACGAAATAATATGTAAAATGTTTAAAAATTAATATCTGATGATATTATTTTAGATTTTAGGACTTGCAGAACTTTTTATAAGAAATAACTTTTCTTTGTAAAATTAATAATAAGAAAGTTTCCAATATGTTGCCAACTTAAGTAGACACACTGTATACTAGTGATGGGTCGCACATGTGCGAGTCGTACATAATGTACGACACTTTTTTGTGTGCGGAGCTGGTACGACTCTTTTTAAATGTGCTACCAGCACATAGCACCCAGAGATAAAAAAAGGCACCTTTATCATATGTGGCACGGTGCGCTGACACAGCACTGCTCTTTATCTAACCTATGGCTCTTTAGTAAAGAATCTTTACGTATGTGTCTTTGACTCTATGATTCAGCACAGAACACATAGATGGCACTACAATAGGTTACAAGTTGTAGAGAAATTATTTTATATAATTAACAGTTTGTTTATCTTGGAAAATATCCAATCCATAATTTATCGTCATGTCCATAGATGGCAACACGGTCTATATTATAATTATATTAAAATAAAATTGCCTCTTATCAAAAAAGGGTTTAAGTTAAAATTGTATTTATCGACTTTAATAATAAACATAAAACTGGATTTTACATCAATTAAAAATCCAAAACCGACAGTTGGATACGACACGCACAGTGTGCTGAGCTGTGCAACGTGCGAGATTCTCAATTTGAATCATTTTCCCCACCCCGCACAAATGTACGACACGCACAGTGCCGCACACTGTAGTGTGCTGTGCAGCGTGTGCTAGCACACAAGAATGTGCTGGTTGGACCCATCACTACTGTATACGTCCAAGATAGATACACCTGCTATACGGCAGATTTTATTAATTGTAAAATTATTAATTCGTGAAATAATCTAGACGTATATCACTCAATCTATAAATTTAATTTAAACTGTCAGTAAGTTTTTTATTTGATTTTTCATTTTGGAAAATAGTTTTATGCAAAATAATTAAAAATAAAACCCCTCGACCGCTACGCGGTGTCGCGTAAATTATTTTGCATTCAACATTTTCCAAGAAAAACCAAACAAAAAACTACTAAGACTAGTTTAACCGATTAAATTCATAGTTCTAATAATATATGATTATTTCATAAATTCATTTTTAAAATCAAGCAACCATCTTCAAATGTGCTGCCAACATAAGAAACAAAAAAATTATGACAGTTTTAAACTTTTTATGTTGTTTTTAGTTTTAAATAATACTTTAATTTGTAAGTATTCATTTGTTATATACAACCTTTTATTTATACTACATTGGCATCTCTGAATTTGCTGTCACATCCTACTGTTATTCATTTAACAAACTCTTCAAATTGACATAGTACCTTAATTGCCAATAAAAAAATATCTACTTTTATTCTATTAATTTTGGGAAAACAGTAATTTACTGTTTTATGAAAACATTTTGTATTTACCCTCAATATCTTATTGTTTGTAATACAATGTATGTTATGATAATATTTGGTGTATATTTTTGTAAAAATGACTAATATTCGCACAATAATATGAGAAATATAATAAATTTATCCTTGATGTATCAAAAATATGAATTCTAAAATTACATTTGAGTAATCTGCAGCCATCACATATGATTCTTTGATTCTCTCTCATACTTGGAACTTGATAAATCAAACGGTTGTAAAAACTAGTAAACATTTTTAATTTCCCATCGTTTTGGTAATTTTCCAAATTTTCAATTTTTTGTACATAATAAATACACATGACAAATTCACATGTGGGTTCATGCATAAGTCGTGTGTATAATATATACCAATTTTTTAGGACGAAAATAGGCAAATGGTCGAGAGATTAATAAAGTACAAAGCAAAAGACGCGGACCGTATGAACGAAGAAAACGATAATTTTCTCAAGTAAGTATGCTTAAGTAGGGTTTAGCTTCTCTAGCAGCAGCTTTATTTGGGCTTTATTTGGCATGTGTTTTATGTAGCTAAGTCTCTGAATATTTTTTGGCGGTTTTTTGTGTGGGTAGAGTTGGGAAAATATAGTTTTAGGTTATAAATTTTACATCGTAATAAAAACATATTTTTTTATTATTTTAAGTTTTAAGACTCTTTACTTATAGGTATAAATATATTGTCCTGACTCTTCAAACAATATAAAACTTACTAAAAATGTCTAGGGGTTTTAGATGTAGTTTGTTCATTTTATTTTTTTAACAAGTAATTTTTAAAGTACCTACAGTGGTGGTCCAATGTATTTCATATTTTTTTATTTTATTTGAGGTTTAAGAAATTTTATTTGTTTTTCTAACCTGTTTAGGTTTTCCCCAAAAAATATTTTTGATTTTCTCGAATTGTCGCTAATTTATTATAATTTTAATAACCTTTTTTAAATATTAATTGGTTTATTTTCATAATTTGTTTTTAAATAAACTTCTAATAATTTTCTATTAAAATAATTTAGTTTTTTTATTTTTCAGATTCCTTATATTATTTTTGAAATTTATTTGATTTTCTTAAATATTTTTTTTTAAATCTTGGTTCTAACAATTTCGTATATTATTTATAGGTATTTTTTAACATGAATTAATTTAAAAAGTAGTTTCAATATTAAAATAAAAACTTGTAGATCTCATAGACACTCTTTTCAAATAAATATTTTTCATTTGAGCTTTTGTTTTTGAATTATCGATATTTATATATACACCTCTTTATCTTTGTTGGTTGATATTTCTTGTTAAAAATTGTAGATATTAAATTTCAAAAAACTTTAAAAAGTAAGACCACAAATAACAGAAATAAAAACCTTAAAGTTTATGTAAAAACAAAAGTAGGTCGGTCGATAATTGGAAAACAAAATCTCAAATAAAAAATATTTATTTGAAAGAGATGGATGAATTAATAATTTATTAATTAATGTTAAAAAATACCTATAAATAATATATATATATATATATATATTAGGGTGAGCCAAAAAAACTAACCTATCGGATTTATGGGTTAAAATGAACCTACATACCGAGCAAAAAATTTCCCTGCAAGGCAAAATTTTTTGCTCAATTTTAAAAGGTGTCGGTGAGCATTCTAAGTTTTCCATTGAAATAACACGTAAAAAAATCTTTTTTCATTAAAAAGACTATAACTTTTGAACCGTTTGAGATAAAATTTTTTACGTCGCGGATTCTTGTAGAGCATAAAATTTCCCAAATAATCTATACCAGGATTATTTTTTTTTATTCAAAAATTCGTATGTTTGCAAGCTTTGAAAAGTGTAAAAAATCACCAAAATTGCAGTTTTAGTGATTTTTTACACTTTTCAAAGCTTTCAAACATACGAATTTTTGAATAAAAAAAAATAATCCTGGTATAGATTCTTTGGGAAATTTTATGCTCTACAAGAATCCGCGACGTAAAAATTTTTATCTCAAACGGTTCAAAAGTTATAGTCTTTTTAATGAAAAAAGATTTTTTTACGTGTTATTTCAATGGAAAACTTAAAATGCTCACCGACACCTTTTAAAATTGAGCAAAAAATTTTGCCTTGCAGGGAAATATTTTACTCGGTATGTAGGTTCATTTTAACCCATAAATCCGATATGTTAGTTTTTTGGCTCACCCTAATATATATATATATATAAAGCTTTTAAAACAAAGATTTAGAAATATTTAATCTAAAAAAATCAAATATGTGTGTATAAAGAAAATTATGAAATATTAGTACCTATAGGTACCAATATTTCATAATTTATTAGGTATTTTTGTTTTATTTAAATTTACACATTTTTTTTTTTAAATTTTAGTTGCATAATTATTTATGATTTTCTGGGGTTTCCCTGATTTTGTATCCCTGATGTTTAATAGGACCACCACTAAATAACAACATTGATATTGTATATAATTTACATAACACCGTAAAATATTGTTATTAAACTCTACCAAAGAATTTATTATTATTTGCTCGCCATTTTTTTAAAACTTGTCCAAACATAATCCTGTAAATTGTAGTTAACATGTTAGTTAATTAAACTGTATTATAATTTTGTGGGTTTTATGTATCAGGAACTGAATGTAGTTTGACTGTAACTTTGTAAATATTGTATTTTGTGTGCTTTTTGTATCTAGATCCTATGCATTTTTACACTTAATTTGCAGCGATGGTGCCAAGCATATTACAACAGTGCTCAGCACATTTGGTCTTTTCAGGTATGTTGATCCATTAGAAAAAAGCAAAGTGGGACTAATGATTGTATGCATCAAGGATAGTTAAAATTTTATGGCAAACACATTTTTGTAAAATCTTGCCACACTATTCTTTTAATAAAAACCGTTTAAATAACAAAAAAAATTACCATCATCTAAAGATTATTTTTTGAATTTAATCTATGGCAACTTTTAAACCATTTAATATTATATTATTATTTTAATATATTATATTAATTCTTTTTGTTTGTTTTCCACTTTTACAAGGTTTATCCAGATTTTAAAGAATTTTTTAATTATATTAATTATTATTTAATTTATATTTTTTATCATTTCCAAAGTTTATTCCGATTCATTTTTTAGATGTTTTTTTAAAATGTAAAAAGCAATACTACTTAGTTTTTATTAATTTCTTATTAAATATTATATAAATTTTTCGTTTTTTCTAAATATTTTACACATTTTTAATTTTTTTTTTAAATTTTTTAATTTTATATAAATTTTGTGCATAAAAATTGGGATTCCCAATTTTGCAAAGTTAACATCATTGTTCTATTCTTCTTTTCTCCAATTTTTGTCTACTTTTTAAATTTTGTGTAATCTTTCCATATTTTCACATAATTTATTAAATATTAAAAATAAATTTCGTTTTTCTACATATTTTATCTTTTTAACACAAACTTTATAGATACAATTTTTGTTAGATTTTCAATTTTGCAAAGTTTTATACATGTTTTTATTTTTTTTAGCATTTTGTGCATTAATTTTTTTTATAATTTCTCAATTTTACAATGTCAACATAATTTTTTCTTTAATTTTTGCCTATTTTTTAAATTTTGTGCATAATTATTATGCATTTTACCATTTTTTATTATTTTTTCTTTCATTTTGACTATTTTTTAAATTGTATGTAATTTTTGCATATTTCTACATTACTTATTAAATATATAAAATTTTTCGTTTTTCTAAATATTTTGTTTTCATAACTTTAAAGATACAATTTTTGTACATACAAAATTGAAAATCATATGATTTTCAATTTTGCAAGGTTTATCCCGATTTTACAAAGTTTTTTGTATTATTTAAATTTTTTCTTTTAATTTATCTCCAATTTTTTGCCTATTTTTTTAAATTTTATTGTAATTTTTGCGTATTTTCACATTGTTTTGTTTTTCTTAATATTTTATGCCGATTTTACTTATTTTTTTTCAAATTTTATCAATTTATTTAAAGTTTATGCATAAATATTATTATGAATCCCAATTTTCCAAGGTTAACATTATTTTTTCTATTATTTTTTTCCTAAATTTTTGCCGATTTTTTAAATTTTGGTGTAATTTTTGCATTTTTTCACATTATCATTACCATTATGATATCATTAAATATATAATTTTTTTCGTTTTTCTAAATATTTTGTTTTCATAACATGAACTTATAAATTTTTGAATGATTTTTAATTTTGCAAGGTTTATCCCAATTTAACACTTTTTTTAATTTTGTTTTCAAATTTTTTGTATTAAATTTTGTGCATAAATATTTTTATGATTCCCAATGTTCCAAACAAGATACAATTTTTGCATGATTTTCAATTTTCCAAGGTTTATGCCGATTTTACTTATATTTTTTTCAAATTTTATCAATTTATTTAAAGTTTATGCATAAATATTATTATGAATCCCAATTTTCCAAGGTTAACATAATTTTTTCTATTGTTTTTTTCCAATTTTTGTCTATTTTTTAGATTATGTGTAATTTTTGCATATTTCCACATTTAATACATTGTTTCGTTTTTATAAATATTTTGTCTTCATAACATGAAATTGAAATCTATCTACCTACAATCTTTGTATGATTTACAAGTTTGCAAGGTTTATCCCGATTTTTTACATTTTTAATTAAAAAAAAAATTCTTATTATTTATATTTTGTGCAAAAATATTTTTATGATTTCCAATTTTGCAGAGTTAACATCGTTTTTTAATTCTTGTTTATCCAAATTTTTCCTATTTTTTAAATGTTTGAATATTATGTTTAAATAAATAATATTATATCCCATATCTAATTAATTTTATTTTTTTGTGAGTTTAAAATTTTTAAATATTTATATTTATGATTTCCAATTTCACAAAGTATAACAAAACAGATGCCAAATTTTGTTTAAATTTACCTTAATTACAAAAATGACAAAATCAACAATGCAAATTTAATTTAGCGTTTTTATTAATTTTTAGTGTTTATTAATTGTTTATTATGTCATTTTTTAATGAAGGTAAATTGAAACAAAATCTGGCAACTTTTATGACAGAATCTAGTGCATTTCTTTCAAATTTTATGTTATGTGCTCAAATTGTAAATATCTTAACTAAGGGAAGTGCTTTTGGATATATTTAATCAAATTGAGCTTGTCCTAATTTCATGTGAATAAACAGAAAGAAAAAAACCGATGAAAAAATTAATTTGGTTGTTTTGTTGGAGTTTTTAAAATAGGTACTAAATTTTCTAATCATTGGCTAAGCTAATAGCTGGATGGGTAAATAAATACAAAAGGGTATTAGAGCTTTAAGGACATAAAACTTTTGTATTTATTGAGTTTTTATTTATTTTTGTAACAATTTTTTACAACTGGCAACGCGCAGCTACTTTGTTGGTTGGTATCTATGTACTCACAGAACACAAGTGTGTAACCAGTGGCGTATCACAAAAAATATAAAAAACTTCTAATGCATATTTTTTCTTCATCTTTGGGAAAAATATTTTTAATTGTATATTCTGTAACAAGTTTTAAATACGGCATATTACGCTCGAGTGAAAAGTTTGTCACACGAGCCAAAAATTCCAAACGTGTTTCAGACTATACTTTTTCTACGTTTCCAAATAATACCAAAGAAAAATAAGTTAATTGGGAGAAAGTGAGGTTGTCTAAAATTTGACAGAGATGTCGCCACCAGTATTTGATAATAGAATAATTCATTCTGTAATACTTTAAGGAATATATGTCATTCCACATTAAAAAGTGGTATAAGAACGGTCATATTCCGTTATAGGAGTAGAAAAATATTTTTCGGTTACACCGTATGTCAAAGGGTATTCAGTATTTTAATATATGTATTCAGTTTTAGTTGTGCAATATTTATCCCAATATATGACTTTTTCATTTATGGTTTTTCTGTGAAATTCAATTTTTTAATATTAAATGTTATATTTTCAAAATATTTGGTGATTTTAGATTACAAAAATTTGTTTGCCTAAAAGTTTGTCAAGCCTAAAAATGTAAACCGTGCTTTATGCATACAGCCATACGAAAAATTTAAGTAAAATGAGGATGTCAATTTAACGCTTTTATTATTTTTTTTTAGTACAGTCTACAATATGTAAAAAAAAACACCAAAAATGTGAGCAGCACTGCTGTAAACGTTATATCAGTTATGTTTAAAAAATACGATTTCCACGAAATTGTTGACTGTACCAAAGAAAGAAATAATATTTGGCGTTTAATAACTTATTTTACTTAAAATTTGCCCGGTCCCGCTGTAAAACACGCATGTGCTTGATATGAGTAAAGAGTAAAATGATGAGTATAACTTTCTGGGTTTAACAAATTGTGTCGAACGCTAATTGGTATTTTTTCGTTTTCTTTCAGGAAACGGCACGCCAAGATGCAAAAGGAGATCGAGGAGGCGTGCAGAGAGCCGCGGGAAGTTTCCCCAAATACTTTTCCTGAAGGTTTTGGCCCCGTTTGCCAGCTGACTGTGCCTAGCAAGATCAATGTTAAATTTGTAAGTTTTTAGGTTGTCAATATGGTTAACTTAAACAATATTATATGAGTCAATCCATATGAAAACGCTGAAACTCGTTGCTCGACCATCATGGATGTTGCTAAAATTTTATAGAAATTTTCATTAGGGTCCCAAAGGACAAAATCCACCCTTATTTATTTTTTCGCATGTGTCAAATCCGGCCTATTCGAATTAAAACTTTTTAAAAACGTCATTTTTATGCTTTAATAATTTAAGCTGTAATTTTTTTGCTATTAAAGATATTTTAAATTTTAAGATGTCATTTTAAAGCTGAAAAATAGTAGTTTTTATAAAAAAAAATTAATATTCTAAATAATTACACGGTGCTGAAAAAACGTGTATTTTACTAATTTTTCGTGTTTTTTTTAAATGCGTCCCATGTCTCGGCTGTTTAATATAAACAGAATTTTTTTTTTATATACTAAGTTTACATTTCAAAGACAAAATAAAACTTACAATTGACCCGTTTGGCATACGGTTTCCAAAAAAAAAAATGCTTGAAATTTTAAAATGTAGAAAATCGCATTATTTAGGCCATTATATGAGGATGTTGACTTCCAAATAGAATTATGAAATTTACAGGATAGTTATCCCCTACCTTAATGTTCAAATGCCTGGTAGTTTGGTTTTGTTATTTTCAACTTTAAAGGTTCTTCAGTAGCTTTAAAAGGAAAAAAATATTGAAATAATAAAAAGTCGCATTATTTCATTCATTATTTAATTATCTTGACATTAATATAGAAATATGACATTAACAGGATATTTAGTCCTTACCTTGAAAATAAAATGCTTATTTGACTTGTTTTGATATTTTCATCCATTTTGCGCTCACATGGGCTTTAAAAAAGGCTAACACATGGAAAATTAAAAAAACGCATCATTTTATCCTTTATCATATAAATGTTAACTTCTAGATAGAAATATTAAACTTACAGGAAATTTAGTTCTTATCACAAAGTTTAAAAGCTTGTATAGCTCATTTTGCTTTTTGTATTTGCTTGTACGGATGCTATAAAAGCAGCAAAAATATAATAAAATTTAAAAAAATCGCATATGTTATATGCACATCGATGACTTTCTGCCAAAGTATCGCAAGCAACATAACTCAAATTTCGAGAATTGAAAACATTTTTCGTTTCAAAGTCTGTTTTAAACCATATATAACCTATAAGTTTTATAACAAGTAAATAGCTATAATTGTAAGCTATTTACCTGTTATAAAACCTTTAGACTATAATTAATTTAAAACAGACACTAAAACAAAAAATGTTTTCAATTCCCGAAATTTGAGTTGTGTTGCTTGCGATACTTTGAAATATCTACATAAATATGCATAAGCCAAACAGGCATTTAAACATCATAGTAAGGACTAAATATGCTGTAAGTTTCATGTTTCTATCTCTACACATTCTTAGAACAGAAAATTAAACAATAATTGTTTTTTAAATTTCAACATGTTTGCTCCTTTTAAAGTCCATGTAAAAGCAAAATGGATGAGAATATCAAAACAAGTTAAATGGGCATTTAAACTTTAAGGTAAGGACTAAATATCCTGTAAATTTCATAATTCTATTTGGAAGTCAACATCCTCATATAAAGGCCTAAAAATGCGAATTTCTAAAATTTCAAAATTTTAAGCAATTTTTTTTTTGGAAACCGTATGCTAAACGGGTCAATTGTAAGTTTTATTTTGTCTTTGGTATGTAAACTTAATAAAATATAAAATATAATAAAATTAGCTGTTCATATTAAACAGCCGAGACATGGCACGCATTTAAAAAACACGAAAAATTAGTAAAATACACGTTTTTTCAGCACCGTGTAATTATTTAGAAATATTGATTGAGTACATTTATATATTTTTTTTTATAAAAACTACAATTTTTTAGCTTTAAAATGACATCTTAAAATTTAAAATATCGTTAATAGAAAAAAAAATACAGCTTAAATTTTGTCCTTTGGGACCCTAATGAACATTTCTATAAAATTTTAGCAAAATCCAAGATGGTCGAGCAACGAATTTTGGCGTTTTCATATGGATTAACTTATATGTCAAAACATTTTTAAAGGGGGCATCTTTAAAAAATCTTTTGCAATAATTCAGTGTTATATTTCTTGTTTTTGAGATACAGGGTTTAAGTAAAATTGTAGAAATACATTTTTCCTACTATACTAACATTTAAACTTTTATATAGCAAATTTTGACCATAATTCACCTCCTGAAACTTTGTTACATTTTTACTACAAAAAGTTTATAATTTTAACAGGTTTTTCTGGTTGCATACCATGCAAAAAAATTAGGTAAACAGGGTGTTTCTACACAAAATGGACAAGATTAACACTTATTTTAAATATAAAATTTTCCTTTAAGCCTGAATTATAGATTGCCTTCCTTCCTTCCTTCCGTAGAAGATTAACAATACGAAATTTTTGACGTAATTGTCACCATTAACATTTTCCGTGTAAGAATTTTTAATACTTTTTGATAATATTTTGCAATTTTAGTAATAAAAAAAGGATAAAATATTTTCTTAACAAAATCATATTTTGAAGTTATTTTAATATTTTAAAGTATCAATTAAATTTAATTAAAATTATTAACGGGCAATGTTAATGGTGACAATTACGTCAAAAATGTTTATTTAAATCGTAGTGCCAGTTATAGATTTCCGTACCGTAAGGACGGCATTCCTTCCTCCCGTAGAAATTTTTAAGTTTTATCTTTCACCGTAAAGGTCTTTGACATGACCAATCACAGTGCTTGTTATGGACATGCGCTGTAGGGTGACAGCGCGTAGGCACAAAATATTTAAAATACATGTTTGCTTAGTATTATTTAAGATAGGTGTTCAGTTTATTACATAATTTTTGTCTCTAAATAGGATATTTAGATATTGTTTATGATCAATGTCTTTCATTTTTATAAACGTTGCTTTGTAAACCCCCCTAGTTTCCCGGTCTTGGTTAAGTGGGCAAGTCTTTCAACGTCTTGTTCGATGTTTTTTTTTCATTATACTGCCCTACTATGGAGAAAGGCAGTAACTACAAATGCGTTTTCTTGTGCTATGATAAAGCTATGGACATTTTGTATCTTAATTCAATAAAGAAATGCAGTAAACTATCTTTTAAGTTAAATAAATCAGTTAAATTTATACCTACTGCTTTTTATAAAAATGTAGTTTATGCTAATTTCCCACAAATTTCTTGTTTAGCAGTTACTGCCTTTCTCCATAGTTGGGAAGTATACAACAAGCTGCCTGGGCAATTAAAATTGTGATCACTGCACTAATATATAAATGATTATCTTTCATATTTACACACAATGGGTAAAACGCAGAATATAAACAAAAACAAATGTCAACCATTTTAGGTGTAATCGCGCATGGTTACGAAATTTCACACGGAAATCTATAAATTGACTTTTTAAGACGCACAAATCGTACGGGCACGACTACGGGAGGAAGGAAGAAAGGCAATCTATAATTCAGGCTTTAAGCTTCTGTTTTCTAAATTATTAATTTTTAAATCTGGCCATTAAAAAGGAACATAAAGGAGTTATTGTTCAAACATGTTTATGGCTATGTAAATTCATGTTTATGTTTTTAAATAAACCTCTTTATCTTGCTTGTTTATGGCAGAATTTAAAAAACTTAATTTGTAAAAATCAGGCCGTAAACAACGGAGATAAAAGGGTTTATGTAAAAACAAAAGAAAGTCGATAATTCCAAAACAAAAGCTTGACTCCCAAAAGTCCCACCTTGTTGTCAAGTTATTAAGCTAATAGTTGTCAAAAAAGTCAAATGCCATATTTATTAGAAGCATAACTTAGTAATAGTCTATTGTTTCCAATAATTTTATATTTTTCAATTTATTATACTAAATATTGTACTACATTGTTAAATAGGCGATATATGTATTCTCATAAAAATACATTTTTTACTACAAAAGTGATTTTTTGAAAAGAATCTCGTTAAAACGGTTTTAGGACGATAAAAACACAATTTTACGATTAAAAATTACCTAAAATACTGTTGTCGAGCACCACCTTAAAGTTGTATAATCTATGATCCCAGGAATCCCAGAAAAACGTTGCATGCTGATAAATTACCTAAAATACTGTTGTCGAGCACCACCTTAAAGTTGTATAATCTATGATCCCAGGAATCCCAGAAAAACGTTGCATGCTGATAAATTGGTAGTTTAACTCTAATTATCATGACAACAACCAAAAATATAAAAAAATATGTCAAAATTGATTGACAAAATGTGTTACTTTTTGTTAGAAGAACTAGTACTCTAAAAAAGCATCGCTAGTAGCGCCACCTCGTGGCTGTTATTATCGTAACCAGAATTCAGCTTTCAATAAGCAGCTGTCAAACCCGTATGTTACAACCAGTGTTTTTGAGTATAAAGCTGGAAAAGTTAAAAATATCGAAAAAAAAACCGTAACACGATTTGTTTTGGAGTTGGGTGTTTTTCGAGAGGAAATCCTGGGTTTAATTTTTACCGGTTTCCCAATAAACAGTGGAAATCCGAATAAAGAAATAAATTGAATACAGTCCTTGTAAATATAAATTGTACCTATTAGCTACAATAAATACACATTTTAGTAATGATTTATGTGAAAATTGTAAACATTTCAATTCAGTTAAAATCATAAAACAAAGAAGTCGTCTAAATTCAAACAGCATTATGCATTATTAAAAGCGTTGATTAAGAAAGTCAACGGTACTCAACGGTATAATAGCAAGAATCAGCATTATATTATGTATTATATATAATATTATTTTGTCATGAATTCGTAAATATATGTTGTCGTTTAAAATGCAATTGTCGGCGTTTTAAGGACTTAAATATAAAAATTTTCGATTTTATGGTTATGTTTGTACAACAATTATTTTTTGTCAAATTTCTTAAAAATGTCAAACTTAAATATAAATTATATTAAGTAAAGTTATCATTAGTTAATTCTGCACCAACAAATATACCTACCGAATTGGATCCTTTGACAAAACATAAAAATGCAACGATTTAGTTCTTGAATTTTATTTACAATTAAAAACAAAATAATTCACTTTGTTCACACACACTATACAAGCATACGAGGTGTGTTCAGAAAATATCGGGAATTTTCGTTTTTTGAAACAAATATTTATTTATTCGTCTACATTAATGTTGTCGCCATTGGATATTATGCACATGTGCCAGCTCTTCTTCCAATACTGGAAACACTTCTAAAACTCTATCTTTGAGATAGCCTTTAGTTCTTTCAGGGATGCGCTTAATGTCATCTATGCTTGCAAAACGACGGCCCTGTAAGGTTCTCTTTATTTTTGGGAATAGGAAAAAGTCAGACAGAGGCGAATATGGAGGCTGGGGCATCATTACAGTATTGTTTTTGGCCAAAAATTTTGTTCAAAATTTAACAATTTTGGAACAAATTTTGCTGTCACGCGTTTCATACCCAAAACATTTGAAAAAATTTTATGGGATGAGCCAATCGATATACCAACATCATCAGCGACATCTCTGATGGTTTATAACCATTTCTTCCACTTTTTCCATGTTTTTATCGGTTGTTAATGTGCTTGTGCGTTCGGGGCGTTCGTCATCTTCAACGTCTTCACGGCCATCTTGGAAACTCTTATACCACTTGTAAACTCTTGTTTTACTTATAGCAGACTCACTATAGGCCTTTGTTAACATTTCACAGAATTTATTTAATTTTTTAAGCAAAATTGGATACAAATGGATCAAAGACCATTTCTTTTAACGAACAAAAATTGCCGAACTCATAAAATACGTCTAACCTTAGCGGCTGCCACAGACAAAGTAAACAATTAAAACTGCTAAAGTTTTTATCTTACTTCGGGGGCATGTATACCAACATAATAAATAAAAATTTATGACAACCGGACCCTCCGAAGCCGCGAAATTTAACAATTCCCGTTATTTTCTGAACACACCTCGTATAAGCAATGAGTTTCTTAATCAATGATAATAGGAATAATAAATTGAAATTGAGTACTAAACAAGTATTTTAGTTTTTACTTTCAACGCGAAGCACAAATAACGTGAGCGATTTAGCTGTGCAATTGAATAATTTTTTTCCTGTAAGACCTATGCTTAAATGCACGGTCTTATATACAGGTCTTGCAACTTCGCCCAATTTCAATAGGAAAAGTGACCTCTCTAATGAGACACCCACCAGATGGCGCATCGAGTTATGGATAAACCATAGATGTTTAAAGGTCGTTTTTACCTTCTTTATCTTTGGGTTTTACAATCGTTAGATAAGCTCTCTGGTGGATAATTTTCTATGGTTTCTATGAAAGTTATCCGCCAAATAAGCTAACTTAATCTAACGATTGTAAAACTTTAAAGTCTATTGGATAAAAGGTCAAATGAACTACCTACTTATGTTCTGTACACGGTCTTCAAGTAAATTAGCCAAGACCCTTGGTTGGTTTACAAACTAGCCGCTAATTTAGTTAAAAATACGTTTTCAACTAAAATAGCTGACAGTTTGGCTAGTTTATAAACTACCCAGCTACTTTATAAACTATCCATGTTTACACATTAGCCGTAACATATATATGATATACGTATGTATTTTATACATTAACATGTTTTACTTACATGTTTGGTCTGGGCATGTGACGGCCGAGGACTTTGTGCCTTGTCCTATTTTGTTAACGTAAATTATCCGAAACTTCTTCTTCTTTCTCGGTGGCTCAACGCCTTAATGGCCTAGGAAACAATGTACCATTTTGACCAGCAACAAGTTTTTAACGTCCTTGAGTTTCACGAAGCCATCCACTCACGGACATGTGGAATTTCAAATCTTGAAACATCCACTAAATCGATTGCACAAATCACAAAATTCCTCGCTGAAAGGTCAAAGCTTGCGATATTGTCGAGAATTACCGGTATATTTCTATACCGGGAACCCCATTTTATCCTTCCTGGGTCAAAGTCAACTATTTTCAGACTTTTTCATGGAGCGATGTACTACCGATGAAGGATAAAATCGAACTTGAATTATCCGAAACAAACTCACAAATATTAATTTTTTGAAAATGTAAACAAAACATAGAAAAAGAATTTAAAAAGTTAGGTTATGGTTATGCAGTAGTTCCACATTTAACTAAGTAGTTCATTTAATTGACTTAACCCTTCGATCTTAGCGCCACCTAGCGGCTTGGCACGTTAAGGAAGCCACCTCGAAGCTTAAAGTTGCAAGACCTGTATATAAGACCTGCTTAAATATATTGTTGACATTTCTCGAATTGTCAACAATGCTATTGAACACCACCAGATGGCGCGCGCGTTACGAAAAGCCGATGCTTCTATAGCGTATAAAGCCATACAAACAACAAATATTAACATTAACACGCACATGCTGAATATCTCAGTTTTTATTCATTCTCCAAACACAACATATATATCACAATACACAGTGAGTACTACTCACTAAAGGAATACATATAGGGTTCCCATACTACTAAAAAACAGTGACATTTTGTGTGAATTTACCCTACAAAAATGACACTATCAATTGTATTCAAGAAACGTCCAATTTACAATTTGCATTGTATCATTGTGTCATTTTTGTTTGTTTTAACAGGATATGGCACCTCTAAATACAAATCAATATTTAACAGAAATGCTGTGTCCGAATCGAATTATGAATTTAAACTGTACAATTTGTGATGTCAACAGATAACATTTAATTAATTAATCAATTAATTGTTGTGATAATCAATTGTTGCACATCAAGTTGCCAAACGCATGCATAAAGTAATAATACAATCCAAATGCTTTTTCTTATAAGATAAAACAATAATTCCTAATGAAACCATTGTTTAAACATTCTGTACATTAGGCCTAATCTTTATATTAAGACTTAATGCAATATAAACAATTTAATTTTTAAGTTTAAAAACTTATATCTTTTTAAATAATAAAGGTGAATTGTTCTGGGATTCCTGGGGGTTGTGGATCATACACCTTTAAGGTGGTGCGCTACTTTTGAGACACCCTGAGAGAATTCGTAAATATTTTTTTAGGATGCCCACGAAGGTGAAGTGAACGCGATAAAGTGGAGTCCGGTAGATCGAATAGTGGCCACCGGGGGCGCTGATCGAAAAGTGAAGCTGTGGGATATTTCAAAAGGTCAGTGAAGAAACGGCTTAACTTCTTTAAATTTTTGTGTTTAATTTATTTTCAGTTTTAATAAAGGTTTTTGTTTCTTTTTTATTTCATTACTTTTTATGCCTTTGTTGAAATTAAATTCACAGTTAAGGATATTTTGTCTTGAAAAAAAAATTAAAAAGGTAAATATTATAAAAATTGTTTTGCAGTATCTTTGTAAATAATATTTTTTCTTTAGTTAGTACGGTTTTAATCTTGGTTAAAAGTTTTACTCACTTTTACTCTGTATTTTTTGTTTAAGTTAAGAGCAAAACTGGGTAAAAATTTAATGTAGTTATTAATATTTTTCTAAAATTAGTATTTCCTTGTGTGTTTTAGAATTCTCTGCATGTCCTTTACAGGTTACAGGGTATACAGGGTGTTCTGTAATTAATTTAATATTTTAAAATACTGAATACCTTTTGACATAACGGGTAACGGAAACATATTTAAAATAATATTTTCCCAAAAATAAAGAAAAAATATGCATTACAAGTTTTTTTATATTTTTTGTGATACGCCACTGGTTACACACTTGTGTTCTGTGAGTACATAGATACCAACCAACAAAGTAGCTGCGCGTTGCTAGTAACTTTAACTTAAAAAATTTCTTGAAAAAAATAAATAAAAACTCAATAAATACAAAAGTTTTATGCCCTTAAAGCTATAATACACTTCTGTATTTATTTACTCAGCATTTACTTAGCTTAGGCAATGATTAGAAAATTTAGTACCTATTTTAAAAACTCCATAACCACAAATTAATTTTTTCATCGTTTTTTTCTTTCTGTTTACTCAGATAAAATTAGGACAAGTTCACAGGTTAAACTTCAAACATTCAATTTATGTAAATAAATCCAAAAGCACTTCCCTTAGTTAAAATATTTACAATTTGAGCACACAACCTAAAACTTGAAAGAAATGCACTAATTAATGGTAACTTACCAGATTCTGTCATAAAAGTTGCCAGATTTTGTTTGAATTTACTTTTATTACAAAAATGACATAATCAAGAATTAATAAAAACGCCATTTTGTCATTTTTGTAATTAAGCTAAATTTAAACAAAATCTGGAAACTTTTTTTAACAAAATCTGGAAACGCTGGTTGTCACCAACCATAACATAATAAATTAAATTAGGCAACCAGATTAGCCTAAAGTTCCTAGTCGATCAGTGACGTACTTTTTGGTTGGATAAGGGTTATTATAAATTATTTTTAGTCTTTAGAATTTAGAAAAAAAAGAGGAACTACCCATTTTAATATATTACATTAATTACATAACACCCTGTATAGTATATAAATATGCCCTACTTTGTAAAGGTATACAGTGCGGCGTGCATCCAAACGCCTATAAAGAGAGTGGGGATATTTTGCAGCAGCTACGGCAAACCGCGGTGCACCGTTCGAGCATCATTTTGCTTACGAATGCTATCACCGCTGCAAAATATCCCCACTCTGTATCAAGGGGTTTGGGCGCATTCAGCACCCTTAGCTTAAAAATACGGCATATCACGATGTTTATCAAATATTTAATTTATGATATTCATATCAAAAAAAAATTAAAAATATCAAATTATACAAGGTGCATCAAGTATCCTTCTATGTGTGGGTATCTTTGTTAAGCTACAAGGTCGGTCAATTTAGAGAAAAGTTTCTTGATTACAATTACAATTTGAAATTTGGAAAATAAATCAGCGTTCTTAAATAATTTAAAAAAAACTCTAAACCTGTCAAAATAAACAATAGTTATTTAAAAAGTAAACATGTAAACATACACCTTTACATTTTCGTCCAATTTGTGATTTTTTTCGTCTACTCGATTTTAAGTTGACCGCCATATTGAAATTATACCAGGTTAGACAAAAAATATCCAAGTAATAGTGGCCATTAAAAACAAAGCGAAGAAGGGAAGAAATTGGATGAAAATGTAGATAAATATGTCTATTTTGATTTTTTTTTAATTTCCAGAAATACTGATTTTTTGTTTTTAGTTTTTTTACAATATTTTGAAAACCGCAGGTTTTTTCCAATTTTTAAATTTAATTTTAATTAGCTTCTCTCTGATATAACCAAACTTCTATCTCTTTAAATAAAAAAATTACCCGTATGTATACAGTGTAGATCACTTTTGAACCCGAAAAGTTTCTTAGAATTTTTTCAATTTTTTTTTTACCCAACCAAAATAAAGTTAAAATTAAAAAATAAAACATTTTACTGGGGTGGAAAAATATAAAAAAATTTCAGCCAAATCGAAAGGGGTCATGTTCAAAAGGGGTCAATTTGGTGTGACCCATATACTTAACACATATAAGGATACTTGATGCACCCTGTATAAAATACAGGGTACACCAAGTATAGACCAGGGTCGATAATTTTTGAAACCAAAAAAAATAACAGTAGGATGAAACCCATTGGAAAAGGAGAAGAATATAATAAAAATGAAAGGAAAAATAAATTACGGGCGATCTGACTTCGGGAAGTGGGAGGGGGGGGGGTTTAAGGGTAAAAAATGGTTTATCTCGATTTCCGGCAAAACTACAAGTCCTATGGAAAAAAGTTAAATGGCAAAGTTTTAGGTAATAAAAGGATCTACAACTTTTGTATTTACAATTTTTTTACATAACCTCAAAATTTATGTGAAAAATTCAAAAAACCAAGTTTTTGGTTTTTTATTTTTATCTTTTTAAAAAAAAATTTTTTTTCGACGAAATTTGGTGAAAACTTACCTTTTTATGTCCCAAATACACTGTAATTTATTTGATTTGAAATATTTATTATTTCGCCTTATTTTGACTTAATATCAAAAAAGCAACCTAATTTTCAATCGAAAATTCTCGCGTCAAAATATCAGCTTTTTTCAAAAAGTCGGTGTGCTTTTTGTTCGTTGAAATCTCTACTTTCTGATGGTGTTAAAAAAATATACATTACTATGGTAAATGTTCTCAGAAAATGCAAAAAATATTATAATGAATAACGAAAAAAACTCGAATTCGAAAATTTATTTTAATCATTATGTACAACTTCATCAAAAAAATGGGATTGTTGCAATTTTTTTTAGTTAAAAAGTTTACTTATTAAATTCTAATAACATTTATGTCTGAAAATCTCATAAAATATAAAAATACATGTAAATCATACTATTGAATTTAGATACTTCATTCTGATTACGTTATTTATTATAATATTATTTGTATTTTCTGAGAACATTTACCATAGTAATGTATATTTTTTTACACCATCAGAAAGTAGAGAGTTCATCGAACAAAGAGCACACCGACTTTTTGAAAAAAGCTGATATTTTGACGCGAGAATTTTCGATTGAAAATTTGGGTGCTTTTTTGATATTAAGTCAAAATAAGGCGAAATAATAAATATTTCAAATCAAATAAATTACAGTGTATTTGGGACATAAAAAGGTAAGTTTTCACCAAATTTCGTGGAAAAATTTTTTTTTTTGAAAAAGTTAAAAATAAAAAACCAAAAACTTGGTTTTTTGAATTTTTCACATAAATTTTGAGGTTATGTGAAAAAATTGGAAATACAAAAGTTGTAGATCTTTTTATTACCTACAACTTTGACATTTAACTTTTTTCCATAGGACTTGTAGTTTTGCCGGAAATCGAGATAAACCATTTTTTACCCTTAAACCCCCCCCTCCCACTTCCCGAACTCAGATCGCCCGTAATTTATTTTCCCTTTAATTTTTATTATATTCCCCTCCTTTTCCAATGGGTTTCATCCTACTGTAATTTTTTCTCTCTTTTTACCATTTTTAAAGGCTTCTGCACTGGTCTAGTAGTACTATATCGATATATATTCACTGATATGATATTTATATTAATATTATGATATTCTCGCACTCTGTAAAAATTAAAGTTAATTGTCAATTTCATTGAGTTTAATGTTTTTAATTTTTGTGTGTGGTATTTTTAGGGACTTATGAAAGTAAAGGTGTGTTAGTGGGCAGTAATGCTGGTGTTATGGCTGTAGATTTTGATCCGACTGGTGCTTTGATTCTTGGGGCCTCCAACGACTATGCTAGTAGGGTGTGGACAGTGATCGACCAGAGATTAAGGGTAAGTTATCTAAAATATTGCAAAATATAAGGGGATGGTTATTATTTAATTAATGGTGAACATTTCGGCAACATTTTACGAACTAAATTCGACATGCCAGCTAGCACATGGAAACCTCAACAAAAATTAAATTCCGAAATCAATTCGAAATCCATTGAAAATATGTTGGTGGGCCTATTTTATTCATGTGAAACGGCAGATAAACATTCATATTTTTCATAAATATTTACCTGTATGAAATTCAATACACCCTCGCGTTTTAATGAAAAACTCGTACATTCCATCATAAACTTTCATTTAGTTACATTTACATGTCTAAATTAAATTTAAATGTATATAATGTGTATTAAATGTATTATATATAAATTTATATTGTACATATGAGTACATTAGATGCAAAACTCGGTTTTTGCACATTTTTAAAAAATATATATTTTATCTTATTTATGTTCATAACTGCACTGCCCACAGTATACCTAAGTAAACCAGATGCATAAGTTAATATTTGTAGAATAAAATACATTTATAAACTTACCGCAGCTGCAAAACTGGGTATTTGTTTCTTCCTGTCGGATGCAAAACTCGGTATTTGACCAATCACCAATCACGTCGCTAGTATACGCATTAACTGATGGCATAACAATCACCTGATTAATTGTTATTTTTTTGGTATTTGCACTTTTCACTTGCAAAACTTGGTCTTTAAACGAGGAAGATGCAAAACTATGTTTTTAAATCTTTTGATTTCAATTATTTACTAAACTACTTAATTTTAAATTACTTTTTTTACTTTTTTGAATAAGAAATGATGCAAAAGCACGTCTATACGATTTTTGTATTTTTTTTTTTCAAATATGACCTTATGAGCGGTTTTTCGTGTTTTTCTTAAAATCACTTATCCTGCAAATACAGAGTTTTGCATCTAATGTACTCATGCATATATGCAGTGTGTCCACGGATGGACTTAACTATAGGTACTTGTAAAAATATTTATTTTAAATTTTTCGAGAAAAAGTTTTTTTTCATAACTTCTTTTGCTTATTATATAAATACGATTCGCGTTGAGAAACATCCATTTAGTTGTACAGGGTGAGCAAAAATAGTGATTTAAGGAGAAATCAAATAGTCAAATGAAGTTTTTTCATATGAGTTTTTGATACTAAGATATTTGATATTGAAAATTTAAGATATTAGTTTTCAAATTTTAACAAATAATTGTAGATATTGTAGAAATGTCAGTTGAAAGCAACAACCTTGATTCAATTCAATTCTACAAAATAATAGGACCACTCAAGTTAGGACCTGAATTGATTTTATTTTTAAAAACAAATATCTTAGTAACAACAACTTACATGAAAAAACTTTATTTGGCTTTTTGGTTTCTCCTTACAAGCTCATCATATTAGACCATAAAAAAATAATTAACAATTTTTAATTTTGCAAAATCTACTTGTATTTTTTGCGCACCCTGTATAACAAAATAGAAGTTTCTCATCGTGAATGGTATTTATATAACAAGCAGAAGAAATTATGAAAAGTGACTTTTCTTCGAAAAATTGAAATTAAATAAGTATATTTAAGTCCATCCGTGGACACACTGTATATGTACAATATAAATTTATTGGTGGTTATAAGTTTTGCAGTGAAATCCAAACCTGAAATTTATTTCATATCCGTATGTTTTTTAATTGAAAATTAAACCATTAGACCAGTGCAGAAGCCTTTAAAAATGGTAAAAAGAGAAAAAAAATAACAGTAGGATGAAACCCATTGGAAAAGGAGGGGAATATAATAAAAATTAAAGGAAAAATAAATTACGGGCGATCTGAGTTCGGGAAGTGGGAGGGGGGGGTTTAAGGGTAAAAAATGGTTTATCTCGATTTCCGGCAAAACTACAAGTCCTATGGAAAAAGTTAAATATCAAAGTTGTAGGTAATAAAAAGATCTACAACTTTTGTATTTACAATTTTTTCACATAACCTCAAAATTTATGTGAAAAATTCAAAAAACCAAGTTTTTGGTTTTTTATTTTTATCTTTTTCAAAAAAAATTTTTTTTTCACGAAATTTGGTGAAAACTTACCTTTTTATGTCCCAAATACACTGTAATTTATTTGATTTGAAATATTTATTATTTCGCCTTATTTTGACTTAATATCAAAAAAGCACCCTTATTTTCAATCGAAAATTCTCGCGTCAAAATATCAGCTTTTTTTAAAAAGTCGGTGTGCTTTTTATTCGATGAACTCTCTACTATCTGATGGTCTAAAAAAAATATACATTACTATGGTAAATGTTCTCATCAACTTTGCCATTTAACTTTTTTCCATAGGACTTGTAGTTTTGCCGGAAATCGAGATAATTTTTTACCCACTTCCCGAAGTCAGATCGCCCGTAATTTATTTTTTCTTTCATTTTTATTTATATTCTTCTCCTTTTCCAATGGGTTTCATCCTACTGTTATTTTTTTTGGTTTCAAAAATTATCGACCCTGGTCTACATATTATATAATTCAATATTATACAATACTCAGGGCCGGTTTATCAATGTCCAGTTAAAGTTGCAGTTAGTTATCTGGTAGATAATTTCCATGGATACAATTGTTCTCACAACGATCGATATGGAATTTAACTGTCAGATAGACTAACTGGAACTTAACCAGATATTGATAAACCGGCCCTTAGTCAAGTCATTTTTTATAATTAACTGTAATTACTACTTTTTTGTTTAATATTTTGTTGCTAATTTTAAGACTAAATAATAAAGGTCAAAGCTTAATGCTTAAAATGTCAAAAGTTAAGAATGTTTAGTACATGAAAATGTCAAGAGTTATTTAAGAATTAAAAAAAATATTATGAAATTTTACAATTTTTCTCACATGACCGGCAAAAGTATAGAAGAAATTCATTAAAAAATTAGGCTTTTTTCTCAAAAAAATCCTTGAACCGGTCGATTTTGTTTTTCAATTACGCACATTTTGATGTACAATTGACGCGTTTCTCGGAAAAACATCATTAGTCCAAAATTAACATATTTGGGAAAATGAAAAAAACTCTCCGGCATTCCCATTTTTTACCAAAGTACTTTATTGACCTATTTACTACATGTAAAAAAATTTAAGATACTTTGTCCAGAATTCCTCATGTTTTTTTTTTCGACGAATATGAAAAAAACACAAAAAATACATGAACATGTGAGGTTTTTAGAAGAAAAAAACGAACAATTCTCCTTACTACAAACACTACAAACTAAATATTAACTCTGAGTAACAAAATAAATGAAAAAACTAAAAACTGTATTACTGCCACACTCAGTCTTCGCATCCACTGCTGTTATCATCGTTGTCGACCGTGTTATCAGGACTGTCAGGTGCTATGGTCTTCTGGTCTTTTATCAAGTTATCATAAAATTTTCTATTGCTGTGGTCATGTAAAAGAGGTAAAAGCTTTTCTAGAGTGAGTTTCTAGACGAAACGGAGTGGACTTGTGATGTTTTTAGAAGAACAAGCTAAATTTCATATTTAATTATTATGGAACCTATGACATTTTTACGAGAAACACTTATTTGTATACGTATATATGGAGGTTAGGAAACAGTTGGTGCTAATATCTAAATTTCGACGATATTGGACTAATGATGTTTTTCCGAGAAACGCCTCAATTTGTACATGTACATGTACATTTTTTTTTTAATTGTACCGCCATCTTTTTTTATGAAATTGTGTTAAAAGATGGATGGGTTGGTGTAAACGATAATAAAATTAAGTTTGAATAAATACGGTTTATTAAAGTCTTTTTATATTTTAAAGCACATTTTAATTTCAAATGTCAAACTGACAATTCGTTAAATCCTATGATTTAATAACACTATGTAACAAAATTTGATTTTTGTTTTGTTTATTGGATTTTTTTGTTAAATTATCAATCTTTGTGTGCCAAAAAACTAATTTAACTAAATTTAAAAAATGTAGTGATAAGTTTTTATTTTTTTAAAGGGTATTTATAAAATATAATTAAACCCAGTTTTATCAAAAACAAAAAAAATATTGACAAGAAATGGCAAGAAATTCAACTCAGAATTATTATTTTAACAAAACATACAATCTAGAAAAATATTTTTTTAACATAGATTTTAAATCTTGGCTCAAAAATGAATTTTAATACGACTTTTTCTTTTATATGATGCATTTTCTTCCCGAAGTAGATTCCAAACATAGTCACCCATCATTGTCGCACCCCACCTTCCTCGTTATCACTTTTCCATTGCCCGAATATCTTGATGGAATCTTTCTTCATGTTCTTCCTGACATCTCCCAGAAAAGTCAAGATGCGAATGCAAATAGTGTAGGTACTTTCAACGACATGCGGCATCCCATTTCTTTAAAACTTCCTAATAAAACTTTGTCAAGGTCAGTATAATTTTCTCTTTTATGGTTACCAAGGAAACCTTTCATTTAAAATCTCACGTTAACTTTTGAGTTTAAAAAATATGTATAATAATCAAATTTTTGTTAAAAAAATATTAATTTTTTTTTAAATTTTGTCCACAAAGAAAGTTTAATGGCCAAAATCTTACGTGAGGGATAGTTGGGGGGTGTACCACATCTTACCAAATCTTACCAAGGGGGAGGGAGGGGTCTAAATGATCAGAAAAATGCCTCACGTAATTAATGGATGTCCCCTAATGACACTCAAAGCCATCAACAAGATCTGACGGCTGTCGTTGAAAATTTGACAGTTTCAAAAAACAAATGTATGTTACGTAATCGGGGGCATGGCCTACTACGATTTGTGTAATAAAATCCAGATAAACAAATATCATTTTACATATAATAGTGTAATCGATGATATTTACTTGAAACCAAAGCAGGGCATTTCACTCATTCTGCAGCTCGGTTTTAATTCGAAAATATCATCGATGATAATCATACCAATTGTTATATTATGGGTGAAAATAAAATTTTATAAATCATGATTTTTTAAATTTAATTCCAAAAACTATCATCCCAAAAGGTATACATGTGCATATGCTGAATTCAGAATTTCATAATCTATTCGAATCTGAAAAAAAGAGCGGGTTTAATTTACGTCATAGGTTATAGACATATATGAATTAATTTTCAATCAAATAGGCGTGGGCA